CAGCGTAGGTCCGCCCGGTGGAGCTGAGGAAGGACCTCCAGCGAGATCATCTCCGCTCGCACGTGACGGGTCGAGGTCGCCAAGGCGGGGGCAACCTGAGCAGGTCGAGGGAACTAGCACTCCAAGGCCCCGCGAGGCCTCTGGGGGCAACGCGGGCGAGTCTCATTGGGAAGAGCTGTGTTCCTGATTTCATTTTGAACCAAATTTCTGGCACCTCGGGGCCGAGTCGACTTTCGCGGTTTTTTCCAAAGGGAAAGGAAAGGACCGAGATCCTCCGTCTCGTCGCGGGGCTGATGTTTCACTGCAGGGTCTCTCGGCTGAAGAGAGACTCCTTTTCGAATTTTCTGATTCCAAGGAGCGGAAGGCCATTCTCGATTCTGGGATTGTGCGCGTTTTAACGGTGGCCGAGGCCACGATCGTAGGAGGCTTCCGGACCAGATCCTGGGCTCGCGCATGGTCAGGCGCTTTAAGCCCCGCGAGGGTGCAGGTTCGGGGGTCCTTGCCAAATCCAGATGGTGCGTTCAGACAACGAAGAGTTGCACGTCCATGCTCCGACCCCTCAGAACGAGAACATCATGGTCACGCTCCAGGTTATATGCTCGCGAGGGTTGGAACTGGAAATTGCTGATTGCAAAAGCGCTTTCTGTGAGTCGGACCGGCTACGTCGTCCGAAGGGGCCGATATTATGCGAGCCCTGTCTAGGCTTGAGTCTCGCGCCGGGAGAGCTCATTGAGTTAGTCGCTCCAGTGCGCGGCCGTAGTGACGCGCCCCTTCTTTGGCACAGGACCCCTGCCCAGTGGCTTTCCGAGGGCGGCTTCGAACAATCTCCGTTGGAACCTTGTCTTTGGGTAAGGCGTTCCCCGCAGAGAACGGTCCGATCACTGGCCCTGATCGAGGTCGATGATCTCATACTTTCCAGTGCCCCATAGGCACGCGAGGGTCTTCGTGAGAGACTCCAGGGAAGGCTCAAGTTTGGCAAATGGGAAACCCGGGAGGCCGACTTCGTTGGTCGACACGCGCGACAGATCGGACACCAAATTGTTGTGGACCAAGAAAAGTATGTCTTGGAGCAGCTAGCTCCGATGCGCCTGGCGAAGGAGAGACGGGCTGATCCCGGCGCTTACTTGGGGCCAGAAGGGGTCAAACTGCGCAGGTCCATAGTGGCGCAGATACTGTGGCTCGGACGAGAAAGCCGCCCGGACGTTGCTGCCGGCGCTTCGATCCAGAGTGCTGCCCTGCCGAGTCCCACAGTGGGAGACGCTGTTGTGCATCCAGATAGTCACCCGTCTGAAGAACACTGCCAGTCAGAAGGTCACCCTTTGGCCACTAGATCCTAGTACCTCAGTTTCGTTACGGTGTCTGACGCCGGGGGTCCCGGGTCCGCCCGAAGAAATGGGGCTCATGTTGGCTGGTTGGTCCTTGCCGCTGATTCCTGGATACGACAGAACCGACGGGCTCGTGTTTCACTTTTGAGCTGGCGCTCGACTCGCTTGAAACGAGTTGTCGCTTCCACAGGAGCAGCAGAGACGTTGTCCCTCTCGGCGGTTCTTGCCGAGGCGCAATGGCTATGCATTATTTGGCGCGGTTTCTTGTTCGGAGATGTTTGTCGTCCAGACTGGCACATGTCTCAGTTTCCGTTCTCAGTTGTCCTCAGCAGAGATTGCACCTTCGCGGAAGGAGTTGAGACGATCTTAGTGGTTGGCGCCAAATCGATTTTTGATACGCTGAGCAAGAATTCAACGGGGTCGCGCGCCGACAGGAGACATTCGATCGAGCTTGTTGGGTCGAGATAGCACGGGTGCAATCGGCTCTCAAGTTCGAAGGGTTCCACACGGAAGAATGGCCGCTGACGCGTTGACCAAGACGGATCCAGCTCGCAGCAACCTGGCTCTGAGTGACCTGCTTCCTCGTGTCAACTTGATTTTGATCGATGAAGACGGCCATCTCTCAGAGAGATCTTTAAACAAGTCGCGTAAGTCCCGGTCCAGGCAGGCTTCCAGAGATGTTTTCCGTAGGGCTAGCCTCGGCGAGTACCCAGAAGAGGGAGATGAGTTTCGGAGGCGGGAGGGCACTTATTTGGCTATGCCAGACCCACTGAAAGTACTCCCGCTGTCCTCTCTTTCCTCTCTTCTCCCCCCTTATGTGTCTGTCATAGCCGCTTAGGCTTTAGGCTCGCCATGGGCGCGCTCAGGTGAATCATGCTCGTTTGGGCGTTCCTTCGCTAAGACATGTCCACCCCACCTGGGAACACCGATGTCAGGATCGATGCCAACGCTGCAGCGGGAGCACGATCTTGAGTGACCGAAGCGCGGAAATAAGATCGGCGTTGCAGCGGGAGCACCATACTGGAATAACCAAAGACGACCATATTGAACAACACAGGATACACAAGTAATGACATCCTGTGCGTGTGAGAAACGCAATGCGCGGACAGGACAAGAGACTCTCTGGACAGAGTCAGGGGAGAAAAGGAAAGCATTCTCCATAGTGTGTACTTGTGGAGGCGGAGGAGGGGAGAGAGGAGGGAAAGGAGGAGGGAAGGGAGGGATAATGAAGAGACATGGACGAAATCGCCACTTGGGGGCTGTCATGGATCCTACGTTTTGCTGAGTGGGTTTGGTTTGGGAGCTGGTCTGCGATAGAGGTCTACCCAACTTTGGAGAGGGAGTAACCCAGTGTTTATGTAGCGTCTTTCTTTGATGCTGTGTCTATACTTCCTGGTGTCGCTGATTGTTGTCTGTTTCTGGCCATGGATGGGCCATTTCAACCGGGGCTTGTTCTTCCTTCGTGTGCTGGTGCATCCTTCTGAAAGGCAGGTGCTGCTCCAAGAACAGGCCCTGAACCTGATCCAGCAGGCCCTGTCCGCCGTACACGCTGCCTCCTCCCAGGCAGTCTGGCCTGAATTCGAGTCGTCGGGTTCCCGAGGGGTCGGCCTGGTGCACGCAGCGCGGCAGGTGTTTGGACCATGCGGGGGCCGCGGGCAATCTCCCCCTGCCCGTATGCATGCCCGTATAGTTTGCTGCCCGTCTCGGATTTGTGTCCGAGCTCGGGGCTGGAGGGTGCGCTGTTGCGCGGATTTTGAGCGTGCTTTTCGGTTGTTCGATGTGTCCGAGGTAGCTTCATGGTGTTGCATTACACGAGTTAGTCTCGCGGCAGGAAGGTGACCCACAGCGCACGGCCGTGTCGTTTTATTGTTCTTATTCCTCCTCTTTTTCCTCCTCTTCCTCCTCCTCCTTCCTCCTCCTGGTCCTCCTCCTCCTCTTTCTCGTGACTTCTTGTGCCTTTTCCTTTGGCGCTCTTCTGGGCCGCCTTCTCTTGCCTCCCGTCGCACACATCCTGTCTGCCTCCTTTGCGGTATCTCTGCGCCCCTCTGTAAATTCGTCGTGGTTTCTTCGTCGCCGCAGTCGTCGCCGTCGTCTCATCATCCTCCTCCTCTTTCCCCTCCTCCTCCTCCTCCTCTCCCTCCTCCTCTTCCCTCTCTTACTCCTCCTCCTCCTCCTCCTCCTCCTACTCCTTGTCGCACCCCGAGGCCCCGTACCCGCCACTTATGATTCTGAAGCTTTAAATGTGGCAACAGTCTTACATATGGAGGGCAGATGGTTTTGAACATGTGTCTCTCGCCTTAGCGCCGCGCACATTCGTTTTGGAGATGGCAGGAGTTTCACGGATTGAGGGCGGGTGGCTTTCAAAATGTGGTTCTCGCCGTAGCGCCGCGCACACTCGTCTTAAATGTTTGCAAGAGTTTCACGACTTGAGGGCGGGTGGTTTTCAAAATGTCGTTCTCGCTTTAGAGCCTCGCACTTTCGTTTACAAAATGGCAGGAGTTTCACGGATTGAGGGCGGGAGGTTTTCAAAATGTGGTTTTCGTTCCAGCGTTACGCACATTCGTTTTCAACATTTGCAAGAGTTTCACATATTGAGGGCGGGTGGTTTTCAAAGTGTGGTTCTCGTTGTAGTGCCGCGCTCATTCGTTGCAAAAAATACAAGGGTTTCACATGTTGTGGACATTCCCTTTTCAAAATGTGGTTCTCGCCGTAGCGCCGCGCACATTCTTTTTCAACATGTGCAAGCGGTTCCAGGAATCCAATGATCAACTTACCAGAAATGGTGTTCAGGAAGGATTCATGATTATGCGGGTGCAACAGTTACGTTGATTCGCGGTGTTGAAGTTCCAAAAATGGCGTTGTGGCACGATTGGGAATCGTCAAGACGCAGAGGTCAGGTTGACCCGTGGCGTTGAAATCCCGAGAACAATGTTTTGGCATGCTTCAGGGTCTTGAAACGGTCGTCTTCCAACGAGGCAGTTCCCTCAATGGAAATGAACCGTTGTAGGGGCCTAGGAAAAGGGAGCTTGAAGGGAGGGTACATTCCAACATCGTTGATGACTCTTGGGGTTACACTGGTCCTCCTCCTCCTGATCCTCTTCCTCATCCTCTTTACTCATCCTCGTCGTCCTCCGCCTTCTTCCTCCTCCTCCTGTTCTCTTCTTCTCTCCCCTGAGGCGCTCCTCTGCCGACCGCGCTCTGGTCGGCTCAGAGAAGGGCTTCGTCCAGCAAGGGCAGTGCTGGTGTCTTCACCCGCCAACCCCTACCGAACGTCCAGCCCGCCACCAGCTCCAACACCAAGACTCCTCCCCTTCCTTTTTTCCCCCCCTCCTCCTCCTCCTCCTCCTTTTCCTCTTTCTCGTGACTTCTCAGGCCTTCTCCTTCCGGCGATCTTCCCCGCCGCCTCTTGCTTCCAGTCGCCTACCTGTCTGACTCCACTGATGTACCTCTGTTCCCCTCTGTCACATCCTCGCGGCCGTCGTCGTCGTCGTCGTTTCCTCCTCCTCCTCCACCTCCACCTCCACCTCCTCGTCCTCGTCATTCTCCTCCTCATCCTCGTTCTGTTTCGCCTCGCCGTCCTCCTCGGCGTTTGCCGCCGCTTCTCCAGCGCCCCGCGCGGCGGGTGGCCGCCTTCTCCGCGCGCCGCGCCGCACCGCCCTCCCGCCCCGTTCGCAGGCCCCCCCGGCGGCCGCGGCGCCCGAGAGCGGCGCAGGCTCGGCCAGCCGCCCGGGGCGGCGACGAGGAGGACGACGGCGGGGGCGGCGACGACGGCAAAGCGGAAGGCGGCGATTTCCAGGACGACGAGGGCGACGACCGCGTGGAGAAGGACGGCGAGGGCGACGACGGCGACGACGACGGCGAGGAGGAGGACAGCGGCGAGCACGACGGCGCCGACGACGACGGCCCCGACGGCGGGGACGGCGATCTGCCGACGCAGCTCGCGCATTTTCGGCCTCGAGGGGGGCCCCGCCGTGGCCGCGGCTCGGCCCCCCTCGAGGTTCGGGTCGAGGCACCATGGATCGCCAATCCCTTTCTGCGCGCCCCCGAGAAGGGCGGGTGGCGCGAGGGGGGCGGCCTTCTGAGATGGCCTCTGCGAAGGCAGGGGGCTTCGCGTGCGCCCCCTGGGCCCTTCTACGAAGGCCCCTGCCTCCCGAGAAGGCACCAGCTGGTCAGAGGGTCGACCCCCTCGCGCCAACCTCCCCTCTGTGCGCGCCGCCCTGTGGGGGTGGGGCGGGCGCAGACGGGAGCAGCCGGGCAGAACTAGGCGGCTGGTTTGGCGTCGCTTCATGGAGCCTAAAGGCCCTCTTATGGGCCCTAAGGGTTCTTGTAAGGCCCTGAAGGGACCCCATCAGGACCCTAAGAGCTCCGTTTGGGGGGCCCTGAAGGGCCCCTTCGGCCCTGAAGGGCCTCCGTAGGGCCATAGAGGCTTTTTTCTGGGCGCCAGGAGGCGCCGGGAAGACCAGCTCATTCCAGGTTGAGTCATAGTTGCCCCCGTGCCGCCCCGCCAGGGCCTGTCCTGCCCCCCCCGCCACGCCCACCGAACCCACCGCGTTAAGCGATTTCAGCCCCCCACGCCCCGCTAATGACAGATTCGCCGCTTCGCTACGGTCGGCCCGCGGTATAGGATCGAGGTCGGTTCGGGGAGGGTGCCCCAATGTTCTTTGCGCCTGTTGGATGGATGCTCTTGTGCATCCTGGTGGGGGGCACCCTCGCGTGATCTCATGGTCTGGAGAGTCTTTTGGCCGGCCACGGGTCTCGTGTTCCCGAAGGATGTTCGTCTGTCCCAGGTCCGACCGTACCCCCCGATTCCTGAGTCCCTTTCGTCCAGCCTCGAAGGTCTGAGGCCGGGCGAGCTCGGCCGCCGAGGGGCGGACACCCTCCGCTCCCCTCCAGGCCTCTCGCGGGTGCGGTGCCATGCGGTGGCAGCGGGCCAGGGCGCGACGGAGGGTGGAAGCCACCAAGGGCACTCTCGAGGGCGCGAAGATCTTCGCGCTTCGCGGTTCGGCTCCGATTCCTTCTCGTCGATATCTTCTCGTCCTCCTCTTCTCCCCTGGGGGGCGGCGCGAGAGCGCGAAGCTGTTCGCGCTTCGCGCAGCGCGAGGCGCGAGGCGCGACGTTGGGCGCCCTTGGGAACGGAGGGTGGGAGGAGGGAGAGAGTTGGGTCGGACAGGGGGCCAGGCTCAGGGAAGGGGGAGGGGCGGCGAAATCTGCTGCGTGCAGCTGGCATCCGCCCGCCGATGGGCGCCTTTCCTCGATGCATTGGGGCCTCCCGGCGCGGGGAGGCGCAGGGAAAACCACCTGCGTGGACTGATTCGTTAGCCCTCGCCCTTTACACGCCGGTCGTTGAAGTGGGTATTTCTGTATGCCGAGATCTCATTGTATTTCAAGCGCCTTCCTACTTCAAGATCCGATATGCTTTTAATGTGTGTTGTTCTTCTCTGAGAGGTTATGCGCCCAATCTACTTGATCCGCCTTCCAACTTCATGTTTACCTACTTGTTCCGACCGACGTGTACGTGCACTGATTCGTAGCCCCTCCTTTACTGCCCTCCTCCTTTCGTTCGGCTCGGCAGAGGGTTTTCCTCCTCCTCCTCCTCCTCTTACTCTGCGCCGGCGCTTTCGGAGGCCCTCCTGGTCGCCACGACTGGGCGCAGCCTGGAAAACGCTTCAATCGGAGTCGACGATAGGGGCGAATGGTCCAGGGGCGTGCGTCACGCATTCTTCCAGGAGCCTCGCCGAAGGCATGGACCATCGGCGCCTCTGGGTACATGCGTTACCTTCCCCTGGGCTATTCGCCCCTATCGTCGCCCCCGATGCAAGGATAGTGCCTAGGATGGGTCCAGGGTCCAGTTTTGAACGGCTTCTGTTTGGGAGGAGGGAGGCAGAGGGAGGAGGGAGGCGAGGAATCCCTGACACGTCTTCGGCCCCCACCAGCCCGAGTAGACGAGATTCGTAGGCGAGCTGTCGTGAGACGGGTAGCGCAGGATCAGAGCAGTGAAACCAGGGGTGGGGGGGTGATCTCTTGCCAAATGGAAGCTAGGGTCGGCCCGATGAGCCTCCGACAGTGGCCAATTCAGGGTCCTTTGGTGACCGCTTGGATGCCTCTTGGGGCTCCCTTAGAGCCGCTTTGGGCTGTCTCGGGGCCCTTCGGGACATCTTCGTGGTCACTGATAGAGCCATCTGTGCGGCCATCGGTCCACGAAGCGGCGGTCCCAATTAGACTCCCCCCTCTTGTGCCCCGGAAAAGGACCCCTTAGGCCTCTCTTGGGGTGCTTTTAGGGTGATCTTGGAGGCCTCCCTGACAGTCTTGAGACCCTCCTGGCCCTTCTTGGGCCTGTGATGGGCCTCCTTGAGGCTTCCTTTAGGCTTCGAGATGGCCGAAGATAGCACAGCTCACTGAGCAAACGAACAGTCAGTCCTAAACCTCCAGTGGTGGTTGGCCTTCGGTTCCTCCCCGCTGCGCCGTACGTCTCCCCTTCTTCCCCCTGCTCCCTCTTTTGCCGTTGGTACTGCCCACCCATTTCGTCACGCCCATCACATAGACGCGAGGACGAGGGGGCTGCGGCGGTAGTGGATATGCCAGAGGTGTTGACGATGAGAACAACATCCACGACAGTTTAATGAATGTAGCTGATGCTGAAATTAATACAGAGGTTGGTGATGCTTGTGGTGGTGATGGTGGTGATGTTGATGGTGGTGGTGGTGATGGATGATGCCGCTGGTGCTGATGATGTGAGTGATGATGACGATGATGATGGTAGTACTTTTACCATGGTGATGACGCAAGGTGATGATGCTCATGATGATGATGATGATGATGCTGATGATGATGATGATGATGATGATGATGATGGTGATCGTGATTTTGATTATGAGAACGAGGATTGTGGTGGTGATGCTGATACGGTTAACGATGACGTGTATTAGGAATATGATGTTGTTGATGATGATGATGAAGACGATGATGCTGCTGATGCTGCTGATGATGATTCTGATGGTGATCATGATGATGCTGATTATGATCATGATGATGCTGACGACGATGGTGATGGTGATAACCATGTTGAGGATGGGGATGGGGATGAGCATGATGATAAGGATGAGCATGATGATGCTGATGATGATGACGCTGATGATGATGATGATGATGATGATGATGATGATGATGATGGTGATGATGATGAGGCTGATGATGACGATGATGATGATGATGATGATGATGATGATGATGATGATGATGGTTGTGGTGATCCGCAACATGGTGTCAGGCTGCCGTCCTGGGCCTCGGACCACCACTGGTCGGCGACCATCGGTTGTAATTTTCCAAGCTCGACGACGAGATACTGGAGGACCTCGCCGAGTATTTCACCTGCGGCGAGGATCTCCCTACTGTTAACGGCCTCGCCTCGGCATGGCAGGCCGTGCAGGCCTAATGCCGTTCTGGCGAGGTTGCCAGGGAACTTCCCGTAGCTCGTGCCCTCCATACCGAGCGCGTCGGGACTGCAACGAGCCTTTCGCATCCACGGTCCCCTCGTGGTCTTCGGAGGCTTCTTTGGCGGCCCCGCAGTACGAGGCCAGGTTCCGAGCGCGCGGTGCAGAGTGTTGCCGACACTGATGCTAAGAACAAGCGGGCCCGCTTTTGTGGCTGCGCTGGAGGCTGTCGTTCTTACAGCGTCTTGGAAGCACCCTGTCTCGTTCGGTGCCTACCCCTTTGCTGCTCCAGTGGTGCGCCAGCAAAAGCTCATCAACGATGTTATCGCTGCCATCGCCGTGTTCGAACCAAGGACTGTCCGACATCCTTTGCGGATCTCGGCAGCCATTTCGATGTCGTCTTTGCGGTTTCCTCTTCTTCAATGTGGGCGCCTTATTCTGCAGTCGTCTCAAGTTTCTCCGGGAAGAGCAAAACGCGGGGCGCCTCCGTACTTGGTCGATATTCAACGACATGGCCTGGATGGTTCGACACCTCGACGCGCCAGAGGACGCTCTTCCTGGTGTTCGTCCTCCCGTACGTGAGGATGCCGCCGAGGAGGTTCCCGTGGAGCCCGCGGAATGAGAGGTCGTTCTGTGGCTCGAGGCAATGGTCAAACACCCCTTGATAAGTCAGGTGGGGCCCTCGGCGAGCTGCGCATGAACGTCGCCCTCATGGCGCTTCTCATGGCTGTGTTCGCTCGTGGAAGCCCGCTCTGGTGGCCCGCGGCGCTCTTTCAAATGGAGGGCGCCGCGATACGGCCTGACCGGGGTCGACTACGGAGGCGAGATCACGAAGCGCGTCGAGAGCCTACGCACGGCGTGTGGCCAGACGACGGCCTCGCGGCGGTCGCGGCCTCGGACGCCCATTCCGGTGCCGGCCTTCGACCAGATAAGTTCGGCTGTTCTCGGCATGGACGGCTCGCTGGTGAGGGTCGCAGGTGCTATATCGTCGTAGTCTTTTCGGCGGTGGCTCCCTCCGAAAGCTGCCCGTGGAAGAGCACCAAGCTTTGGAGAATTGGCGCGAGGCGCCGACTGCGGCAGCTGGTCGCGACGCGCTGCTGCTGCCACTTTCTCGGCTTCCATGGGCCTGCAAAGCTCCGGGCGCAAGGACTGCTCCGCTGAATTGGTGAAGTTGGAGCAGCTCTTCGCCTGCGACTGGCGATAGTTGGCCTTGACTCCGCCGCGACGGTTTCGTGGTCATCCCCGCACGGCGCCCTTGGTAGAGGCCCTTGTCGCGAGGGCGTGGCAGGAGTCAGGGGATTTAGTCCTGACTGCCCTGGGGCGCGCGCTCAACGCTACCCCGCGGCGCGTCGAAGTCGCTCGCACCGCGTTGGTGGAGAGCATTGGATTTCGAGTTCAGACTGGTCGCATTTGCTTTCTGCATCCCCATCTCCCGTATCGGCGGCGAGCCCCAGGGGAAAGTGGGAAGGAGAAGGCCTTTACAGAGTGCTCGGAAGTCCCTTGGCCTTGTGAGAAGTAGCCTGGGGAATGTCCTGGGAAGATCGAGGGACTGGCCTAGGATGTAGCAGTAGATGGTGATGGTGATGATGATGATGATGATGATGATGATGATGACGTTGACCATGATGATGACGATGGTGATGTTGATGCCGAGGGTGATGATGATGATGATGATGATGATGATGATGATGATGATGATGATGCTGATGCTGGTAATGGTGATGGTGATGGTGCTGGTGATGATAGTGGTGGTTGTGTGATGGTGATGGCGATTATGATGCTGCTGATGATCATGGTGATGATCATGGTGATGATGATGATGCTCATGATGCTGATGATGCTGATGATGCTGATGCTGATGATGATGATGATGATACTGATGCTGATGCTGATGCTGATGCTGATGCTGATGCTGATGATGATGATGATGGTGATGATGATGATGCTGATGATGATGATGATGATGATGATGATGATGATGATGATGATGATGATGATGATGATGATGATGATGTGGGTGCGGATGAGGATGAGGATGAGGATGAGGATGAGCAGGAGGAGGTGACGGAGGAGGAAGACGAGGTGGAGGGAATGGAACAGAGGGATGGGGGAGGACGGTGGGGGCAGGACGAGCAGCAGCACCGCTGATCAGAAGCAGCAGCGGCGGCGCCCGTGCCATGTGCGCTTTCTCTCCCCCCCCCAGCCGGCGCCCCAGACGTCCTGGAGGCGCTGGCCAACCTCCTCAGAGCCCGATCGAACGCCAACCCCGCGAGGCCCGGCGACGACGACGACGATGACGACGTTGACGACGTTGGCCAGTTTGACGACGTTGATGAAGAGGGCGAGGACGAGGATGACGAGGGCGATGACGAGGACAAGGACGACGAAGATGAAGACGAGGAAGAAGACGACGAGGACGGTGACGAGGATGAGGAAGAGGAGGCTGACGATAGCGAGGGCGAGGGCGAACACAGACAAGGGATGTACGGGAGGGAGGGGAGTGAGGCTGCCTCTGTTGCCCTTGGGGCCCAGCCTTGTTTTAGGGCGCCCGCGTGGCCTCCGCTGCGCCGTTCGACTCGTCCTCCTCATCCGTCAGGACGTGATTCCCTACCTAGGCTCTGCCTAGAGGGTTCTTATTCTCTTAGCTTAAAGGGGCCGGGCAGTGGAACGCGCCCCGGGCGGTTCCCCCAGTCCCCGCCCCGCGGTTCCCCCAGTCGCGCCCCCTTAGCTTGGCTTAGTTTATCTCGTCTTAGCTTATCTTGGCTTAGCTTAGCTTGGCTTAGCTTGGCTTAGCTTAGCTTGGCTTACCTTACCTTACCTTAGCTTAGCTTAGCTTAGCCTAGCTTAGCTTAGCCTAATGTAGCTTAGCTTAGCGTAGCATCGCATAGCATGGCATAGCATAGCACAGCATAGCATAACAGAGCACAGTATTGCATAGCATAGCTTAGCATAGCTTAGCATAGCGCCCCCTTAGCTTGGCTTAGCTTATATCGTCTTAGCTTAGCTTGGCTTAGCTCGGCTTAGCTTAGCTTAGCTTAGCTTGGCTTAGCTTTGCTTAGCTGAGCTTAGCTTAGCCTAATGTAGCTTAGCTTAGCGTAGCACAGCATAGCATGGCATATCATAGCACAGCATAGTATAACAGAGCACAGTATTGCATAACATAGCTTAGCATAGCTTAGCATAGCATATATTAGCATAGCACAGCGCATCATAGCATATCATATCATACTATAGCATCGCATTGCATAGCATAGCATAGCGCAGCATAGCATATCATACCATAACCTAGCATAGCAAAGCATGACACAGCATATCATATCATACCATATCATAGCATGGCATAGCGCGGCATATCATAGCATAGCAAAATCAACGAATATATCACAAAGCAAACTTGTCGAAGACATTGCACAGCAAAGCAGAAGCAAAGCACAGCACAGCAAAAGCAAACGTAACACCAAGGTATGCATGCACGTGTGCATGCACGTAATTATATGTGTGTGTGCGCACACAGAGGCTCCAACTCCTAGGTAGGGTCGCACTGTGCGCACTGGAATACTTGTTATTTCTTTGTTTCATCGACGGGGGTGAACGTGGAGGAAGGACAGAGGGGGGGAGGGGGGGGGAACAGTTTGGAGCAGGGGGGAAGAAGAGGAGGAGTAGGGAGGGGAGGGGGATGGGGAGAGGAGGAGGAGGAGGAGGAGGAGGAACAAGAACAGGAGACGGAGGAGAGAAAGAGGAGGAGGAGGAGGCGGAGGAGAGGGGGGAGGAGAACGAGGAGGAAGAGGATGAGGAGGACGAGGAGGAGGAGGACGAGGAGGAGGAGGCAGAGGAGGAGAAGGAGAAGGAGGAGGAGGGGGAGGAGGGAGGGAGGAAGAGGAGGAGGAAAAAGAGGAGGAGGATGGGGGGAGGGAGGAGGGGAGGAGGAGGAGGAGGAGGAGGAGGACACTGAGGAGGAGGAGGAGATGGAAGGGGAGGGGAGGATGATGATGATGAGGAGGGAGAGGAGGAGGCGGAGGGGGAGGAGGAGGAGAGAGGGGGGGGACGGGGAGGCGAGGAGGAGAGGAGGAGGAGGAGGAGGCGACGAAGAGGAGGAGGGACGAGGAGGAGGGGGGACGGGGGGAAGGAGGAGGAGGAGGAGGTGGAGGTTGGAGGGGAGTGGGAAGGAGGAGGAAGAGGAGCAGAAGGATGAGGGAGGGGGAGGAGGAGGAGGAGGAGGAGGGGAGGGGAGGAGGAGGAGGGGGAGGAGGAGGGGGAGGATGAGGACGAGGAGGAGGAGTAGGAGACGGAGGAGGAGGACGAGGGGGATGAGGAGGAAGAGGAGGAGGAGGAGGAGGAGGAGGAGGAGGAGAAGGAGGAGAATGGGAGAATCATACAGGACTGGTGATATCAGAATGCTTGTGTACTATGTGTAATACCAGTAACAGCTGAAGTTACTACTCGCAAGCATAATACTACGAGTACTATCCATACCATACATATTACACTATCATTGCTACTAATTTTGGTAGTTCCGATAATCAGGTCGACGAGTTCTGACCTCCCCGTCAACCTGTCCTCACCGCTGGGCCCCCCTCGTGCGCAAGCCTGCCAGGAGACCGTCCGCCCTGGTTTTGGTTCAAACAACGCGGAGTTTTGTATAGACCTGTTCAGTCGCATTGTGCCCCTTGTGCGAGTGCGGCGCCCATTCTAAAATTCTCGCCTGAAGTCTTGATTTCGTTTTTGAAGGCTGTCGTTAGAGGCCCTGTATTGGTTGATGTTCACACTCACGTCTGCGTTGCACTCGCAGGATATAGTTTCTCGTGTGGACTTTCCAGTATCGCAGGCCAACAAACGATCGCTTGGGAGGCAACGGCTGGTGGTGCATCGACAGACAACCCTGGATCTCCCGGTGGAGCAGGACAGATCCAGTGTGGTCGCGGAACACATCGTCCAAATTGGCTTCGGTGTGGGCATGGTCAGCGTTGTGTCACCACACCCCGTGGCTGCCCCTGATCATCATGTGCAGAGCCACGCTGCGCCAGAGTACGAGCTCCATATTGATCGCGGCGCCTCGTCTTCTCAAGTTCAGTTTGAGAGGATAAGCTCGGAACAACTACTACCCTGGGCAATCACAAAGCATGCAGTCTTTCTTGGTATAAAGATTGATTCACATGTTGATACAAACACTTCGGACCCTTAGGCTAATGCAAAGGGTGATTCACTGGTTGAGCACGCTTTGTCTGCGAATTCAATTCATAATCGCGTTCTTTGCCCAATCCTTTCATTTCGAACCGGCGCCGTGGGAAACAGTGCACAGCTTTCAGAAATCGATGTTCCCCCGGGAAGGTTCAACTGGAGGAGTGGTGGATCCAAACCGGACTCAGATTCAAGCCAGACGTGGGACGCTTGTCTGTTCAGAGTCGAGGTGACGAGAAGGGATATGCCACTGTTTCAGATTTCTAAACTGGTGCAAAGGTTGAATCTGATCGAGCTGTCTGCAATCTGGAGTCCCTTTTCCAGGTGGCTAGCAATATGCGTATCAAGAATATTGTTATCCGCGGGGCACTGATTCAGAACTGTAGAGGTGGCTATCCCAGGTTTCCTGTCAGCGTTTCGGGCCTGCACGGAGGGAGGCCGTGATGGTTGGATTTGGGATGATGGTCGGTCTTTTGTTGCATGATTAGTTCGGGCTCGTATGCCACGATTTGGAGCAAGTGGCTGGGAGCGCGGGACATTCGCCAGCCTTGGTGCTGGACGCGAAATATCTCAATGACAATTTCGTGGAACTGTCGGGACCCGAAAGTAATGACGGTACTGGAATGCTTAATTGATTGGAATGGTCACGAGGTTCAAGGGTGGCTCAAGGGTGGTTCAAGTCTGCGGCCTGGACGCAAGATGCGATGTTATGTCCACGCCCCATTGAAATCACATGGCCCTCAAGCGATCCAGTGTCAATTTGTTGCAAGCAGTTATTCCCAGATCGAACGCCGGAAATTAAGCACGCACGTCTAGCCCAGAACCGAGCGTCACAGCAGAAGCAGAACTAGACTACCAATAGTGAATTGGATAATCTGAACCGTCAAACATAAATACTCAGAATACTAAGTCGTAACACCCATATTAATAAGGGCAACACGGCAACACATAGAACACATCACAATGCGTTGTTTGGCTAAGCAAAGCACGCTTTCAAAAGAAAAACTACAACAATAAGATACCGAATCCGACGCATAACAATAAGACTAATCAGACGAGGAGGAGGACAATGAGGAGGAGGAGGATAAGTAGGACCAGTGTAAGGCCACGACCCATCATCTTTGTTACAATCAACCCTCACTCGAAGTTCCCACTTCACAGTTCCTGCAAAAGGCGGTTAATTTTCATTGAGACTCTTTGCAATTCCCGAACCGTGACAGATCACCATTCTTGAAACTTAAACGCACCGAAGCAACGATCTTGTTGTGTCCTGGGGGTCCTCTGTCGAGTCAGAACATCATTCGTGGGATGTGCAACGCCGCGAGTCAACGCAACTGCTGCGCCCTGGCGCTACGGCGATAACAAGATGTTGATAATGACCCGCCCTCCATCTGTGAAGCTGTTGCAAGCGTTTAAGACTGATGCGCGCGACGCTAAGGCACGAACCACATGTTCAAAACCGCACTCCATCAATCCATGTGCAACTTTAAGCTCAAGGGTCATACATAGCGGGGCAGTCTCAGGCGAGAAGTCTGACCCGCCTTACCGACACGTCTCGGGATGCGGCATGGAAAGGTTATGTATATGCATGAGGAGTGGGGCAGGAGGAGGAGGAGGATCAGAAGAGGAAACGATACCGACACCAGTGCCTGCCAATCGTCGCCAATTGATGTAGTCGCTTGGCAATCCAGGTCAGCACGCGTTCCGAGAAAGCTCCTGGGAGCAGCGGTGTCGGTGCTTGTCTGTTCCCTTGGAGGGGGAGGAGGGGGCGGAGGAGGACAAGGAGCAGGAGGAGGAGGAGTCGAAAGGGAGGGGGAGGAGGAGGAGGAGGAGGAGGAGAAAGGAACGGAGGTTGGAGTGGGAGGGGAGATAGGTTTGCCAGAACTAGAAAAGTCGAGGTCGAGGAGGAGGAGGAGGAGGAGGAGGAGGAAGAGTCGGAGGAGAAGGAGGAGGCGGAGGAGGGGAAGGTGAAGGAGAAGGATTGAAAAACTTCCAGCAGCCCAGATCCACATCAGTTGCTCCTCGAACCCCCTCACACCCAGCGGAACCTCTGAAACCCTCCCCATCCTATCTCTTTGCCATTGCCTCCTTCCTCCTTCACCCTCTTCGCCCTCCCAATCTGCGTTCCGACCAGGATTCCGAGGCGGCCTTCAGGAGGCCTTCCAGGAGGCCGAAGGACCTTCCAGAAGGCCGACAAGGGCCCTCCAGAACCTCTAGGTTCCATGGCGACGAGGGCCCTCCAGGAGGCCGAAGAATGGGGAAAGGCGCCAACCCCGTCCCTCCTGCTCCTGCCCCTGCTACTGTCGCTGCGTTCGTTCGTTTGTTCGTTCGTTCGTTCACTCGTTCGTCTGTTGTCGTCGTGTCGTTTATCCTCCTCGCCGTCGTCGTCGTCATCGTCGTCGTCGTGGTCGTCGGTGGCTGCATTTTTCCCCTCCTGCCTGGACCTTGTGCCCCCCTGCCGGGGGCGCGCGCGAGGCCCGCCTGGAGGTGCACGGCTGGCGCCCTCCCACCCCTGGCCCCCGGCCCCTCCCTGAGATCCAGACACCTCGCACACGAGTCAGCATCGCGAGAAGCACTCGACCGGAGCCCTGGGCCCAAGCTTTCTGCGGCATTTGTCGAGCCAGGTCGAAGCGTGAGGGCCCCGCAGCGCTCGGTGCAAGGCAACCGCGACCGCTGTGAAACAAGTCCGACGCCAGGATCCCAGTGGGATGCCCCCCCCCGTTCCCGCCGCTTGAAGCGCGTTGAGGGGCAGCATACGCGATCTGTGCGCGCCGGAAGAGCAAACCTAAGCAGCCGAATCGTCGGCAAGAGCAAACCTAAGATCCGAGCTTCTTGCAAATGGTGGTCGTAAGGATTGCTTTTGACGGATGCAGCGCGCTGGCCGAGCGTATTGGGATCTGGCCTTGGGAACAACGCTGCCCCCCCCCAGCGACTTCCAACCCGCCGCACTTCCCCAGCGGCCTCCCCCGCGAGGAGGGACGAGCCGCTGCCCAGTAGCAGTATTAACTACTTCATGGCCTCCAGGGCGGCGGACATCAGCGTGGAGGACTACCTGCGCAGGCCCCCTCGCGCGCTGGGGCCCCAGGCGCGAAGAGGGTGAGGGTGGGGGATGAGGTGATGAGGAGGGTGCGGGGGAGGCCCAGCCCAGTCTGGAGGTAAGTCTGCGTCGTCAAAGCTAACCGACACCCGTCCCCATCTGCATCGCCATCCAGACCCCCACCATCGCAGCACCCCAGTTAGGCATATACCCATCGAAGCCCGAAGGAAACAGTCCATGCCCCCACCTAGAGGGGTAACTCGGCCAGTGGGGCCCAGGCCGCGCCCATGGTGATAAGGGGTCGGTTACGTGAACGATGCTCAACGAGCTCCTGCTTCCATGCCTCGAGCACAATAGGAGTTCAGTGCACCAGGGTCGGAATCCTTGTTCGGCCAGTTTTTTCCCCTTTCCTCTCTTCCCGATTCCCCCCTCTCGCCCCCTCCCCCCCGCCTCTGCCTCCCTCTCCGACTGGGCCTTGGTTGTGTCACCCTCATTTTAGAGTGGTACCTCGTTTGCTCATGGAGTGACTAGGCGCGCCTCAGGTCACCGAGGTCACCGAGGGATGGGGAGGAGAAGGGGGAGGGACAGGAGCAGGAAGACATAACAAGATGTAAAAAGACTCGGCGGCGAACTCCGAATCCGATCCTCGCCGATCCACGATTCCCGCATCTAGATGGGCGGCGGGGTAAGGTTCGGAATTCGTCGAGCACGTGGCGAAATCCGAACCCTACCACCGCATCCCATCGAATCAAGGGGTTCCGTTCGGGGGGACCATGCGGGGGTGACATACGAGGGGAGACCCTGCGGCGGGTTCCATCAGGTTTGCTTTCGGGGGGCCTCCCAAACTTCGGCGGTGAGCCCGTGGGGAATGTGAGAAGGAGAAGGCCTTCTCAGAAGGCCCGGAAGGTCCCCGGCTTTTTGAGAAGTGTTCTAAGCTTTCCTGGAGACGCGGGACACTTCTCAGCAGCCGTCAGGGGTTCTGGGAAGTCCCGCCGCCTTCTGGGAAGGCCTTCTCCTTCTCCTTTCCCCCCCTTTCTCGCCGCCGAAATCTGCCGACGACGCCCTCCGCTTCCCTTACTCTCTTCCGCAGCTCCAGGGGCCATGCAGATGCTCGGGATTTATTCCTCGATCTCGGTGGGTGAGGGCTCGTTTGGGGCCCCAGGACCAACACACCGATCCAAGATGAATTTTTGGAGCAGTCCGGGGATTGTTCACGTCTATTTTGAAAGGGGGCAGAAGGGGGGTCAACAGATCTACTTCCTCACTCTGGGAAGGCTGAAACTTTGCTTGTTCGCCGCTGGCTTTACGCTAGGGGTGATCGCTCCATGTATGGGCGGGCGGTTGAAAGGGGGCAAGAAGGGGGGTCCATAGATCTACTTCCTCACTCGGGGAAGACTTAAATTTTATTTGTTCGCCGCTGGCTTTACGCTAGGCGTGTTCGCTCCGTGTATGGGCGGGCGGCGCCGTTGCCGAGGGGGCATTCAGCTTGCGCCACCGCCGAGTATAATTACAAGAACGACGAGAAGCCAACCACTAGGCTGGCAAGACAGAAGGTGTGACGACACACTCGGAACGCGAGGCGAACATTGCCGCGCACGCGCCACCACAGAAAGTATAGCGGCAGGCAATCCACAGATCGAGTGGCAAAGTATGGGAGGCTCGAAGGCCCGACGGGCGTGCGCCAACCCAGGAGAGAAGGAGAGGAGCGAACGTCGAGCTCGACACTGTGGCTGGCAGCGCGCGGCTGGCAGAGCAACAGCAAGCAAGCCATCCAGCAATGCGCGGATGAACAGACAACGCCAACCGAGCGAAATTGGAGCGAGCACCTGAGCGGGCCCGCACAGCGATGAGAGGCGATGATGCACGAGCTACAGCAAGCGTGTATGGCCGTGGCCTGAGCGGCGCGAGACCAAAACGCACAGGGCGAAGGGGGGAGACCTGGAGGGGGGAGAAGGCATACTCACAGCCCCTTTCTGGAAGACATGATTGGGCAGGCTGCTACGCTGCTACGCATGCAACTGATGACAGGCCAATGGCAGCTGAAGCCAAACGCAACGCAGAGACGAGTGCGAGAACGAACAGCTCGTTGCGCACCAGCTCATTATGAGCGCAGACACCCACCGCAGACATGGGCAACTGAGCCGCAGGATGAGCGCTGGAGACTGGGCGGAGCCCGATTAAGGTTGAGGCCGAATTGAGGCGCCCCACAAGCAGAGGACCTGGATGACCTAAGGCAATGCCAGAATGGCAGGACAGGCGCGAGCTCTGACACTGCAGTGCAGCAGGATGCGGCGAGCGCAGGCATCATTGGCGGACCGCGCTGAGGACATGCGAGACCATCTGTTGAGCCGGCGCTGCTGCTCGTCGGCAGGAGGCGGGAGAGGGACACCGATGGCCTTGACCGAACAGCCTGAGGATGCATCCCCGGAAGCACGGGGATGAGGTGGAACAGGGAGGGACGAGAGCTGCTCGGTCGCTGGGCCTGCGCTTTTCACCACATGCTGCGCCACTGGGACCAAGCTGTGGACGTGACTGGAATGTCCAGCGGGGGCGGGGAAAGCACACGGATGCCTGGCCCCTGGCCTCCTCGCAGTAGTGGAGCAGGAACAGCAGCAGATGGCGCCACGGCAGTACACCAGGGAGGAGCGGGCGGCAGCGGATGGCGAGGAGGCCCAGAACAGGAGCCGGGCGCAGTGGCGGTGCCGCGTGCTGCGTCGAGGGCGGCGGCGGAGGAGGAAGCAGGCCGATGTCCCTCTCTCGAACGCCTGCACGACGGGGTCGCACGTCGGCGAGCGACGCGTTGGGCCCGTGCCGGAAGAGTGAGCACGAGTGCGGGAGGGGGCAGCACGACTCGAACCAAAATGGCTACGGACGACGGCTGGACGGAAGAGGAGGGATGAGGTGAAGGAGGAGTTGACGATGGCATCAATCATTGAACGAACCCGCCGCCAGCGTCAGTGCCAGGATGGGACAGCTTTTGGCAGATGGTCAGTCGCTGTATTGGCTTGAGCCCACCCCACACATGGCTTCCACATCCGTTACTTATCCTCTTGCTTTCCTTCAATTATCCGTAAGGGCTTCGCCCCCTGCCGCCGGCACCCTCTCTTGGATAATGGGCAACGCGAGAGCGAAATCATGAGGCCTTGGTGCCGCCGTGAAGCAGCGTCGGGAGTTCACGCGAAGACGATGAGTAATCGGCAAGACAAATTGAGAATCTGATGATATTGTTGAATTCAGTGTTACATTTCGAGCTTGCTCGCGTATGCTGTGCAAGAAGTTGTTCTACGAAGTATTGAAATGTTGCACATCCCATGTGTTTTTGTTGACCCTGACCCCACCGATCTGCGTGAGGGGTGCCACCGAATTTCAAAACATGTGGCAAACCCCATGTGTTTTCGACCCTCACCCCGCCGATCTGCATGAGGAGCGCCACCGAATTTCAGAAATGTGGCAAAGACCTGGTGTTTTTGGATCCTGACCCCGCCGATCTGCCTGAGGAGTGCCACCGAATTTCAGAAATGTTGCAAAGACCGTGTGTTTTTGGACCCTGACCCCGCCGATTTGCATGAGGGGGGTCACCGAATTTCAAGACATGTGGCAAATTCCATGTGTTTTTCGACACTGACCCTGGCGATCTGCGTGAGGTGTGCCGCCGAGTTTCAGACATATGGCAAATCCCATTAGTTGTTCGACCCTGACGCCGGCGATCTGCGTGGGGGTGCTACCGAATTTTACAAATGTGGCAAATTCAATCGGAAATTCAAGCTTGAATCTGCGCGTTGGGTGCCACCGGATTTTCGAAATGTAGTAAATCCTATTGTTTTTGTTGACCCTGACCCCGGTGGTCTGCGTGAGGGGTGCCACCGAATTCTATTATTGTGGCAAATCCCATTCGTTTTTGGACTCTGAACCCGCCGATCTGCGTGAGGGGCGCCGCCGGATTTCAGAATGTGGCAAATCCCATTGGTTTTTCGACCCTGACCTGGCCGATCTGCGTGAGGGGTGCCGCCGAATTTTAGAACTGTGGCAACTCCCACATGTTGTTGGTCCCTGACCCCGCCGATCTGCATGAGGGGTGTCAATTTCGACCCCCCCAGAAATTCTGGAGGTGCTATCCAGGGTTCTTTTCGGCTCCCCCCCCCGCTCGGTCTACAGCAAGGGAAGTGTAACAGTGGAAACTGGAAACTAGAACAGGCGCAGGGAACAACAAACCCTGGTCCTACAGCCTGGTGGCCCCACAAGGGGGCCGGCGGATTTGTTTTCCCCTCTCTCGATATGTTCTCTCCTTTTTCCCACTCCCTCCTCCGCCCTCCCTCCTTCCCTCTTCACCTCATCCGCCTTCCCTTCCTCCTCGTCCTTTTCCTCGTGCTCTTTCTCCTTCCTCCCCCACCTCTACCCCTCGTCCTCCGCTTCCCCCTGCTTCTTTTCGTCCTTTTCCTTATCGGCATCCGTCCCCCGTTCCCCAACCTGTTCTCCTTCTCTCCCCTGCTGATGCCGCTGCGCCTCCTTCTCCTTGGCGGTCGGGTGTGCCATGGCAGGCTCCTGCGATTCTTCGAGTGCAGCCAGAGCTGCCTTGTACTAGTCGCCATCTACGTCGACCGCGTCCTGAGCCTGCGGGAGGAGCCGGTTTGCCCCGCGGCGGAGGAGGAGGAGGAGGAGGAGGAGGAGGAGGAGGAGGAGGGGGAGGAGGGGGAGGAGGAGGAGGAGGAGGAGGCGGTGGAGGAGGAGGAGGAGGAGGGGGAGGAGGAGGAGGAGGAGGAGGGAGGGGGAGGAGGAGGGAGGGGGAGGAGGAGGAGGAGGAGCAGGGCAGGAGGTCTACCCTGACAGCCGAGTCCAGAGGCAGCAGGCCCCGATGGGGCACGCATGGACCCCCAACCGCCCACTGGTCGCCGATGCTCTCGATGGGACGACCGTCGTCCCCCCCTCCTTGGATCCGGCAAGGATTGATGGGGCAGGGCTGGACCTAAACGTTGTGTTTCGTTCTGTGTTCGTTGTGCTTTTCGTGTTGCTCTATCCATGTTCCTGTACTCCCCCCCAAAAAGAAAAACAGAACACCGCCGAAGTCCGGCAAAACAGCGTTTAGGTCCAGCCCTGTGATGGGGAAGGAGAATACGAGGAGGGTGAGGGAGGGGGAAAAGGGGGAAGGGGGGGGTTGGGCAAGCTCAGTCAGAAGGTCAATCACCCCCCTCTGATAACGGCATCGTCCAGAGTGGGCGCCCGATAGCTCACCCCGCCCAGGACCGTGCGGATGCTCTATCGGGTTCCTATCGGCGGTTCATCGTCGACGTAATGCCGATTCCAGATCGATGTTCCCCCCCTGAGTCAGCGCCCCCCCCAGTGTTGCCCATCAAGAGTTGGCCCGAGGGGTTGGCCGAAGTTGGTTGGAAGGTGGTTTCCTTGCACGTGGTTGGTTTCGCGGGTGCGGCTCCGCTCGAGCATGTCAATCACATATTGATCAGGGGCACGGGCGCCGTTTTCTGTTGTGCCAACGGGTCTTCTTGAACTGGGTCCTCTTGCCGATCCCGATTTCACGACGCGCAGTGGTACTCCGAATTTTATGATAAAATTGTGGGTCCGATTTGGGGGTGGGGTCTGATTTGGGATGATGTCTTGGAGGGTGCCACGGGCGGGGGCTGGGCAAAAAGCCGCGTTCTGCCACGGCTTGTCTGGGGGGGATCAACTTGTTCGTCTGGGAGGTTCGTGTCGACTCCACGTAGTCAGCCTTTTGCCACGACGCACAGGTTTGCCTCGAGAGGCTTTTTTATTGTTGATTGCATCCAAAGGCTGCTCTTTTAGGATGCAGCTCCTGGAATATCAATATCAACATCAACGCTGGTGTATCTGTGGCCGGAAACCAGCTCATCCGATCCAATCCTTTTCAGTCCGCTCAAGCCCGTTGAATCCAGTATAATCAGGCTCAACCTTGGTTTTAAGCTGGTAACTATATTCCTGGACCTTCCCCAGGACCCATCTGGGACCCACTCCACTAGGTCCGCCCCCGGAATTGACCCCCTCCCAGGATCACCCCTCCAAGGTGGGGAAGGAATCAAAGGGACGAGGTTTCCTTTTGACTCTATTGCGACATTGTTCGATTTCCGCTTGGTTGGATCGCTTGAGGAGGGTCCACGGGAAATGGGAGAGGGGCGACGGCGACGTTGACGACGACGAGTCAAACGGAAAAGGGGAGCGGCGGCGACGACGACGGCTCAAATGGAAACGCGTCTCACACACACGCCGACAGGTTCGGCAGATTTCTCCTCTTCCTCATCTCCCTCCTCCCTTCTCCTCGTCCTCCTCCCCCTCCTCCCCCTCCTCCGCCTCCTCCTCCTGCTCCTCCTCCTCCTCCTCCTCCTCCCAGTCCGCTCTGACACCCGTCAGCGGATAGAGAAAACCACTGCAATGGGAAGCGATGGACGGGAGGGTAAGATGTCAGATGTGTGGCGCGGCGCGAGCGTGCTTAGCTTGACCCCACCTCTCTGCTCTCCACTCCCTCTCCCCCCCCTCCCAGCCAAGTGGCCGCGGGGGGTAGTGGTGCATTCGGACGGGGCCAGGACGAGGAAAAACCCGTTCCCCAACGCTCAGAGCGTTCCGGAACGCTCTGCGAAGGCCGCGGTGCCCGGGGCATTTCCCAGCGCCGCCAGACCTCAGAGCTTCGCGATTCCTCCCCGCTCGATTTTGTCCTCGCCCCGGCTTCGTCTCCGCGTCGGGAGCGCATGCGAGCGGCGAGGACGTCGAGGTGAGCGAGCGCACGGTCCACAGGCGCCGCCGCCTCCGCCGTCTCCGTGGGGGCCCACGCTGGCAGCGCGCCGCCGCCGCCCACCTCCGCTCGAGAGGCTCGAGACACGAGGCCCCCGGAGGCTCGAGGCTCGAGGAGGCTCGAGGCTCGAGCGGGGAGAGCTCTTCGCAGAGCCTCGGCGGCCTGGAGGCCCGAGGCCCGAGGAGGCCTCGCGCAGCCCCTCGCCCTGGACCGAGCCGCGCTTCGTGCCCGTCGTTGTCGTCGTCGTCGTCGTCGCCGCCGTCGTCGTCTTCGATCGTCGATCGTTCGCTTCCTGGGGTGCCCTCGTCGCACCAAGTGGATTCACCTCGACGTTGCGGCCACATCGCACCCCAGCAGAAGTTTTTGGGCCGTTGTCCACCCACTTCGGCGCATTCGAATTCCCCATCAGGTGGGGCAAGACAAAGAGTCCTGGAAGTGTAGCAGAAATGCGGATGGTCCCGTTTCTGGAGTCGCCGCAAGCATGTTTCCGGAGTACGTCGTTGTTGTTTGCATCTCTCCTGGATGCACTGCCCTGGGCAAGACTTCGAACCAGAAGTACCACCATTTTTTTTGCAACGTGTTCACGCTTGTCCCGCCATTTGTTCAATCCGTTCTTGAATTATGACGCGCCCACCGAGAAATCCACATGGCACCAGCGGATCGGCGCGCCCTACTGGGGAAACGTCATCAGTGTTCTCGGGCTCCGCAGCTCGGGCACGCTCTTCTTGGCGATCTTGCTCCTCGCCTGGGCGGGCAGCGATTGCTGCGCCTCCTCGGCACCTTCCGACCCCCCGCCCGGCCCTCGACACAGGGGCGGGGAGCCCCGCATCGGGCGACAGGCTCTGCGCGGCACCCGCCGATCCGAGCGTGGCGCCCACGTTCGGCCGAGCCCTGGCAGCGGGGGGCTGCCCGAATGCGTGGCGCTCCAGCGATCTCCGCTCCCACGAGATCGCCTGGCTGGGGACTTCGGCGGCGCGGCGAGAGGCCCGCCGCAGGCGCCTGGCTGCTGCCGAGTCGAGTGGCGCCATCACAGCTGCCAGAAGACAGTAGATCCACCCCTTTGAAGACGAATGTGCGCGACGCTATGGCGAGAGCCGCATTCGGAACATGAACCGCCCTCCATGCGTGAAGCTGGTGCAATTCTGCAAGCTTCAGAATCGTGAATGGTGAGGAAGTCTCGGGCGACACGCCCGGCCCGCCCTACCGAGGAGGATGAATGGAGGAGGTTGCGAGCGATGAAGGGCGAGTCCGAGCGCACGGACCCGCTTCAGCGGGATAGAAGTGATGAGCCGCACGGCGAGGCTTCGAGCCATCGCACCGTGCGGCTTGACCTCGACAGCACCGTCCCCACCTCGTCGGAGTGCCGACGGAGGAGACCTGGCGTCGAGGTCATCATGGGCAAGGGTCCCCCGACCTGGGGCGCAGCCCGCGCGACGCACGTGAGATCTGCATCTCCTCGTTCGCACGCGTGGAAGCTACGTCCGAATGTCCCTTGCACTGGGCACGCAGCTTGCGATTGCGGCCACCAGCCGCACTAAACGCCCCGCAGCCGAGGCAGATGACCGTGGAGCCAAATCGCTCCACACCGTGGCCGAGTTCCGAGTACAATTCCACCTCCCGATCGACCCCGACGGCGACGACGTCAGCCCCCACTCCACCTCCCTCACAAGGGCCTCCAGAGGGCCCTCGGCTTTCATCAAGGCCAGCAGCACGCGCGGCGGCGTCCACCGCACGTGAGGCGTGCCGATAGCATTCGGGGGTGAGGGCAAAATAACGCGTCGCCATCGCTCTCAGAAGATCCGTGGGCTCGCATCGCTTCGCTCGAAGGGCCTTCAAGGAATCGGTCGTCCTCGCGAACCTGTTGCAATTCAGGCACCTGTGTTCAGATAGCCTCTCACAGAAACGAAACTCATGCGAGTCAAGCACAACCGCTGGGGCGGCGCCGTCCCGACGAACCTGAGACGGCACAACTTCCCTAGGTTGGAGCTCAACATTCTTTTTGGCGACCGCTTGAGCAATCCAAGCAAAAACCTGCGACTGGTCTTTGGCCGCCTTCATGGCTTGCTTATAATAATCCTGCATGGTCTGGCCTGTGGAATGCACCTGGGCCCCACGCTTGGCGAAGAAGTCAGCCCACTCGTTAGCAACGAAACGGACAACGTCGCAATCTGGGGCCTCCAAAACCTCCGAGAGCTCTCTGTGCGCAGGGGCCCACTCGAAGGTAGGAGGAGCCTCAGGACAGTGCCGACGTATTTTTTCCCACACTGCCGCGTGACGGCCACCAGAGGAGGCAGCGGCCTCCGACCAGGCACACCCCTCACGCACAAGATTCAGGTGATCGGACACTATGATCGCAGGCTGCTGCGCAACTTCAACGGCTTTGAGCGCTGCGTAGTGCTCCGCACGTGGCACCGTCTGTACCGCTCCTGGTAGCGCGCCAAAAATTGCACGCAAAACGTTGCCAGCCTCGTCGACCTCCACTACAGACCAGCCGCAGCGGGCCAGCTCTGGGATCGACGACGCTTGGCCGCTTCCGTCAGTGTACACCCTCCGCCCCCATCGCCCACGCCAGCCCCCCCATCCCAACACAGGATACACATCGCTCGGGGGCGACAGCGCTGGTGGCTCTGGCGGCAAACCGAAGCTGAGATAAAATTGATCCGCTCCAGATTGCGAATTATTCATGGCCTTGATATCCTTCCTCAGTTCGAGGACATAATCTGGAACAGGCACGTCCAACCCGTCTAACATGGCATCGCACTCAAACCATTGGTGGGACTCGTTGCCTGCTGCCTGCTTGCATACAAAACACTGCGGGGAATTGCGGAGGCCAATGCTGTGCAACCTCTCGGGGGTCCAAACCCCAGACGACCAAAGCGTACGCAAGGCGCCTCGCCTTGCCACGTCTCTTACAGCAAGCACTGCTTTCCTCATTCCCCTCCTCCAGCAGCTCTCTCCAAGGCTGTTGGGAAGGTGCTGAAGAATCCTATCTACTTGCCAGCGGCGAATGCTTTCCTCCAGGAAGGCTTTCACATCACCTGGACACTGCCTAACTAAATCGACATGGCGACCTCGATCGTCCACAAGCACTGTTGGGGAAAACATCGTCCAACCCACATGCAGGAGCGTGGCCCAAACACAGGCGATGGGGCCACGGGCTCTGGACCACGAGGTGCGTTGGTCAAGCTTCGCCTTGACCGCACCCCAAGCTCTACGGAGCCGTCCAGGCGCGACCCTATTGTCCCAGATGAACGAGGTAAACCTAACGACCAAAGGAACCGTCGCATCACAAATAGGGTCGAACCTGTCGTCTCGCTGCGCGGCTAAAAACAGGGTGAGCGACGCCTTGGGCTTGGCCCCGCACATGCCTCCAGCAAACGTCCGAAGCTCACGAATCGCTGTGTCAGATATCCCTGACACTCCAGCGCCGTGGCCGCCAGCTGGGAGGAGCCCCGTCCTCCACAAGGATTTCACGGCCCCCCCCGCGGCGTGCTTCAGACCCCGCACCTTGCGCCTACGAGCCTTGAGATTCTTAAGACGCAACTTTTCTTGCACGCGCAAGACTCTAGTGCCGTGCATCTCGCGACCTAGATTGCGCATCGCTCGCTTCGCTCGCATGCGAAGAGGCATCACCAATCGAGCGAATCTATCTCGGCCTCGGCTCGCGTTCGCATCAAAACCTGACTTGCTCGGCTGGGCGACTAACCCGAGCGGCCTCACGCTGAGGCAAAAACTGTGTACTGCGTTGGCCAATTATCTAGCCTGACCGTCGCTCTCTCCCTCCCTGTTTCGCTCGCCTGACCAGTGGGAGCTCGCATCGTCGATCAGCGCTCGTGGCTTGACCGTGGGGTATATAGTCATGCAATCCTGCAAGCTTCTATGCAACAAGACCGGCAGCATTGTAGTGGCCAGCGAGCAGCCAGCAAGGATACCCTGATTCGGCTGCACTGGCACGGACAGGGAGGCAAAAGCACGCAGGCAGCGAGGTTGCAGATACGTCTGAATCGTCATCCACGCTAATCTCATCGGGAACCGATTCAGCCTGGCCTCGTGAAGCAGGCTCTGCAAAATGACAGTCTCATAGCATTTCAACATATCGATAAAAACTGTGAGGCTGTCCTCTCCTAACTCGTGCGCAATCTCAGCTTCAAGATTCAAAGAAAACGCGCTGTCCGAGCTCGACCTACCAGCTCCCGTCCCCCAGAAACAATCGAGGCCCCCAAACTCTCAGGAGCGTGTTCAAGAGCGCGATCAACCTACATCCTCCCGACGCCTTGGGGAGGCGAACGAGCTGCGTCAGCAGTCTGCGTGATGGCCAGATCAAGAGACTTTCACACTTCATGAAAAGCTTCGCTAAGGCCGCCAGGCCTGAGTTGCTCGGAAACATTAAACTGCGGGGAGCAAAACTGAATTGGCCGACTCCCGTCGCCCATGGAAACTGAAGAATGGCGCGCTGCAAGTCCTGCACAGTCAAAGGTGGGAGCTCTTCCCAGCCCTTCGCTTCAGCTGGCAACTGTGGGGCGGCGGCATCGTGCATCGACCAGATTTCCTCCCAATCCCTCATGGCCTTATCGGCTAACTGATACGGCTGGGCAGGCGTGCGAGCGGTCACGTTTGCATTGACCACCTCCTGCAACGCTCTCCCTTTCGCGTGCCAATGCGCGAAGCGCGCACCGTGCGAAAAGCTGGCTGCCGCCCAGTCCCTCCAGGCTTTGGCGGTCTTCTGGCTGTGCGCCTCAGCGAGCTCCGTTGCTTTGGCCTCGATTGCATCCAGCACTGCATCTACTTCTGGATGGACAAGGAACTCCATTCCCAAGAGAAAGAGGTCAGACGCCCAGCTGCCGAGCTCGTTGAGCACGGCCGTCTCAGACAGCACCTTCGCCAAGCAGCGGCCTAGCTCAAGCATCAAACTCGACAGCTTGTGAAAATGGGCCATGTCTGACGCACCTGCCACTTGCTGCTGACTTGCCTGCGCCGTGACGT